CTTTTAACAAACGAATTAGGACCCACTCATAATTAATTAATTAAATTATAAAAATTATTATAACTAAAATTCCAAAAGTAACCTTCTTCTTCCTCGTTCCCCCTATATTTTTCCTCTCCCCTCCTTTCTCCCCAGTTTATTCCCTTCCCTAATTCATCAATTTTAGATCTAACAGTTTTCCCTTCTCTCTCTTCAACAACAAGAGATCCATCTGTGGTCTATAAAATTGATTTATAAATCCAAAAACTAAAGATTGAAAAGCAAATTTGCAAGTACTCAGTAATATATGCAAATTCACCGGAATCGAACCCAAAAGCCGAGAGTTTGGAAGAAACAAATCGATGACTCAAAAATACCCATATGTTGTTCCCATCGTTGCACAGTTCGCCCATTCAACAAATAGGGGGTATCATCCAAGAATTCCATCTTTCTAGCATAAAAAAAGGGTCCCTAAGAACAGAGTACTTGAAAGAATAGCAAAAGAAACACCATAAAAATTCAACCCAAAATATCCAACCACCAAGAACCCAAGTACACACAAACAAGAATTCCCCACCATAAATGGAGATTAAAGCTTAAAACTCTAATGATTCCTCAAGTTAATCCCACATAATTTCTGCAATGAAAAGCTAGAAGGAGAAAGAAATGAAGAAGAGGGAACCATAGACCATGTGATGGAAGGAAAGGGAAGGCGACAGAGATGGAGAAACCCAGATCTGGTTCCTTGCTTCTAGCTAAAGTCGCATGAGCAGCAAGTCCTCTGATCCACTGACACCCAGATCTTGTTCCTCTCTTCTTCTCAGCTGCACTCAAATCTTAACCTCCCTTTGACAGCCATGTATTTCAAAAATTAGGCTCTAATCTTCCTTGTTCAATTGGATTAGATCTGGAAGAATGAGAACCCAGATTGGGTTCTTTTGGAGAAACCCAAGTCAAGTTCCAACCATCAAACGAAAAAAGAGAGAAAAAGGAGGAGCAGGACGGAGAGGGAGGAGAGGGAGGAGAGGGAGGGACAGACAGCTGGGGAAAGGGACGAAGATGGAAGAACAGGAACCAACGGCATCGTTTCTTTCTTTTCGTTTTTTTTTCTTTTTTTTTAATAATTTGTTTAAATTTAGTTTATTATAATTAGATTTACTTTAATTTTTTTGATACATCTGATGATGAATTATATAAGAGATGAGTTATATAAGAGGATATCATCTCTTAGTTTCAAATTTCTTTTTACCTAACTGAAGATTTAAATTTAAAATTTTCAATTTCAAATTTCAAATTTTTAACGCTAAAACATCTTATTAGAGTTATTAGATTTGCTTTAGTAAAATAAAATGAAAGTTAATTAATTCTTTCATAAATTAATAATTAATTGTGATAGATGGGACCAATTAAATAGGTGAGTCACATTAATTATTTCAATTTTCAAACAAGCAAAATAAAATTTAAACTAAAGTAAACTTTTTACACTATACAAAATTTTAAAAAATACACATAAATCATTTTATACACTATGAACATTTCACTTAATATTTGTTGAGGGATGAATTTGTATCACTTTAAAATTGATACCGTATGCAGCACCACATTAACAGGGACTCATATGATCTATTTTCCACATTAGACATGCTGTTTTTTTATTTTTTGTTGATTACTGCAACATAGTCAGTATCATCAAGAATGACATTCATCAACTTTGCTAGAAATATTGTAGATATAACTTGCTTCAACATCTATTTCTATATATATGGCTAGACACAGCTATATCTATCTTTATGACATAGGTGGGCGTTTTCGACGATCATGTTCTTTACTATAATATTCACAACTATATCTTTTGGCTCTCAACAATGGACAAAGAGCTTGCTTTACTACACATATATGGCTCCCATTAATGGACAACAGACTACATTTACACAACTCCCAATGCTAGACAAAAGGCCAAACTTGCTATCTCATTTAGCCTCTAGCAATGGGCAAAATGCTACACATCTCTACATATTTCATTACATCGGCTCCCAGCAATCAACAAAGGATTAGATTTTTACATATTTCATCTCACTAGATCCCGAAAATGAATAAAAAGTCAACACAACTCGGTACAATTAGTGTGAGATCGGTAACAGTTGTAACCTTACGATTGGACGGGATGGTTACCCTCCAACGATAAAAATCCATCAAGTAACGGTCAACGGTCCCTTAGTGGTCGCTCGTGCATAGTGGTGCGGTGTCTGGTAGGCAACAACAACTAGAACCACCCTCTAACAATGCGGGTACAACAAGGAGGACTAGTGTTTGTTAGTGGTATCATACCTTGTCATATCAAAGGCCATGGATACTGTTGGTGTCCCTCTTTCATGGAGACAACTCCACCTATCTTTATCACATATTCATCACTATGGTAAAGTCTGGCTTAATGAGATTTTTCCCCTTTGCGACTTAATGGATTAGTGGGAGTGCTATTTCGATTTCACATAGTTCACGCTTTAGCCATTAGCAAAGCTAGCCACTATCGCCTCTCTGGCTATGGAAAAGCTATTCATGACTGACTTTGCAATACTTATACAACATGGCCTATGATCATGCTGTTGACGACCACTTAAGATTTTTTCAAAATAAATTGAAAAATCAAGTGTGAAATATAAAAGAAAAAGGGAGTCGCCACCCATCCAAATTATAAGGTGGGACAAGTCACCTAAAACAAATCTGCGCAGAGATCGAGGTTCGGGGGTTCGGTTAGGAGTGAGGAAAGGCATATGCGCACCTCACAATCCTCCATTTAAACACGGTTGCATACTTTAA